AATATTACTCTTAATATGCACAGCACCACCTCCTCTGAAAGCAACTTGTCTATCTGCATTGCCTAAAAGAAAAAAAATAAGGCTCCTATTTTCAGATAACCTTCAAGCAAAGTTCCAGAATCCTAATTTCTAGTGCAGGTAGGAACTGCTGATATCAATAATAATAATTATTATTATTAGAGTTAACATTCGACAACTGCCTACTATGTGCCAATTACTGTGCTAAGTGCTCACATTTACCATCTCATTTAATTTTCATAGTTCTGGGAAATGGAAACAATTATCCCATTTTATGGATAAGGAAATTGAGGCTCAGAGAGATGAAATCACCTGCCCAAAGTCATGCAGCTAGGAAGCAGTACAACAGTGATTTGAACCCAGGTTTGTCTGGCTCCCAAGTCTCTGATGACAATTAAGGTCACGTGACAATTTGCCCAGTACATGGGTGTCTGCATCAGCTCAATCCCAAACCATCTGTTGGATCTGCTGCCGCAGGCTCACCTCCCTCTACGCTGGGAAGACCTAGCACAGTTTATGGAGTGACTTCCACGTACCAGACACTTTATACACATTTCCCCATCCTCACCCCCACCTTCTGACCCTCTGTCATTATCACTATTCCACAGGAGAGCAGCTGAGGCACAGTGAGGTTCAGTGACAGTTGAATGTCACACAATCCTAGGTGAGATGGCATAGCCAAGATTCAAATCCAGGTAAGTCTGCCTCAAAGCTTGCATTCTGGCCAGGTGTGGTGGCTCATGCCTGTAATCCTAGCACTTTAGGAGGCTGAGGTGGGAGGATTGTTTGAGGCCAAGAGTTCGAGACCAGCCTGGGTGACAGAGTGAGACCCTATCTCTACAAAAAATAGAAAAATTAGCCAGGTGTGGTGGTGCGCACCTGTAGTCCCAGCTACTCAGGAGGCTGAAGCAAGAGAATCGCTTGAGCCCAGAAGTTTGAGGTTGTAGTGAGCTAGGATGATGCCACTGCATCCTAGCATCCTAGCCAGGGCAACACAGAGAGACC